AAAAAAAAAAGTTTTGGAAAGTTTAATTTTTTTTTTTAAAATTAAATTGGGAAATTTTAAGAAAAAAAAATTAAAAAAAAAAAAAAAAAAAAAAAAAAAAAAAAAAAAAAAAAAAAAAAAAAAAAACGGAATAACCGGAATAACCTAACTACCTGCAAATTATTGTCACAGTGTTATTTCTATGTATCTATGTACAAGTATGTATACACATTTGTACATTTATATTCACCACTGTCTGTAGTGGAGGTGGGTGAGTAGAAAAATGGATGCCATGTTACCAAGACTACTGTACAGTGTTAATGAATGTCCTACCTCCCAAGCTGCCTCTGCAGATCCTGCATATACTGTTGACACTGTGCATAGTACGTAGTCTGAGCTTCTATGAAGTCATTCAAACATCTGAGATGATGTGCCTGAAGCAGATAACAAATAATGGCAATGATTCTTGGCCATGTTCCAACAGAATCATTCAAGTATCGACCAAGTACATGAAAGAGAAAATATTGAATGTGGTACTTACAAGTTCCAACATTTGATATTTTTCATCATTTCAAAACGAATATTTTTAATATACTCATCAATAAACTTTTTAAGTCATTAACCAAAGATTCAGTCAAATTTCAAAAGTCTTAACAAAACATTTCTTGATGATATACGACCTAAGTAAACTTGTTAGCATGTGATGAAAAATGCCTGATAGGTTTTATTCACATGATGGGCCTTTGGGCAAAAATGTAAATAATACAAAGCAGAGCTCTCATATAGAAGCTTTCAAAGAAATGTTATCAATCTGCAGTTCACAGGAAGAAAGGCCTCTGGATAAAAATCAAGAATCTTGTTCATAGTATTTCTTTAAACTCCTCTAACCACAAGAGATCCGTTTCACAAAATTGGTTCAGCAGATCAACATTCTATCCCTGTGTTTAGGTTTTAAGTGTCTAAAAACTGGGTCTTAAAAAATCAAGGAAAAATGTCAAGTCTTAAAGGGCAGTCCCATAGATTTAGATCGATTTTACTAAATCAACCTAACTCCCTGGGGGTTCACGCTAAATTGTAGTCAGCCAACCACGCACGGAAATTAATTACCCCCTTACAGCTTGTAGTAGGCGGGACGGACATTTAAGCCGGATTATCTGACAGTAATCTAGTGAGACTCCCAACAGGGATAGATCGATCTAAAATCTATGGAAATGCGCCCTTAACCTCCTCTTGTGAAACTTGTATTAGGTTTACTGTAAGTTCCTGTACTCACATGTGTGCTACTAATCCCTTCTAGGAGCAGCTTGGTGATTTCAGACTGTCGGTCAAACTCAGACTGAGCGTTGCGAAGATCTGTCTCTGCCTAAAACAAAAATTTATGCTGGTTAACGATAATGTTCAGATCACAATTGATAAAAACTTCCAGTTATCAAGACTGGTCATATCTGAAGAAAAAAATCAATTTTTGTGCAATGTTACCAATATGCTTAAAGATGATGTAAAGGATCAATCAAAAACTAAAATTGCAATGTCATATATCAATGAAAATTTATGGTTTAAAAAAGTCATGGTGAAATCAGGGAAAAGGTTTCTTTAATTTATAAACAAAACTTGCAAGTGAGTTTTTGACACCATTAAACCTAACCAGAGGCTAAAATATAAACTTAATAATATTCATCACTTCATCATGTTCATTCAAAAGCAGATTTAAACCATCCCAAGATCATAATGATTTTGTCCCTGTTTGAAGTTGTAAAATTTATCAAAATATAATATTTTTGGTTATATCTGCATGTCTTCAACCTAACACATGAGTGAGCTACTTAAATGAATAACTGATGGGGTTCTGTTGTCTTAAATTACTCTTTTTCTTCTCCGAATGGCCTGTAATTATGTCTTAAAGACATGTAATAGCCTTCTGAAGTAATGAAACTACTCTCCCTGCCTAAAAATTGCATGTTTATGCAAAGTGTCAAGGCAACGAATGCATGTCATCTTTCTGAAGGCACATGATGAGTGAAGGCTAAATAGTCTTAAGTATTAAGATACTTTTGAGCTGAATGTTGTTCAATGAAATGATTATTACAAAGAACCATAAAAGGTTGATAAAAGCAGGCAATTTTTTAGGCAATAATTAAGTCCCACAAAAGGGATATGTTCCTTTGATTTTTTTTTTACATTTCTACACAACATGATGTACCATCAACTCTTGTACTATAAAATAATCCACACATAAAAAGGAAACAAAACATTGCTTGATTGATTTATATTAGTAGTAAGGCAAGCACATGGGAATATATGCCCTAGTCTGGTGTCAAATGTTAGGACCTTTAAAAATAGGTCAGGGTGACCCATTCAAAAAGTCTCCCTTAAAAAAAAAATGTGCTCCTATCATACCCCTTTTTATTTAATTGTATTCAAAAAAATTATGTCACATAAGGGTCATCTCCAAAATACACCCGCACGAAAATGCAGTAGTATCGAAGTAGCAAAGAAGCATTAATGCAGTAGTTGTGTGGAGCATATTTGCAGTAGAAATGCAGTATAGCTTACTGCAATTCTACTCCAAAAAGTACATAGGTTTGTACAGAGAGGAGCATCAATGCAGTAGATTAGCAGCACGATAGAAGCATGTTTCAAATATGCTAATTTGCTCCCAAATCGAATCAGATTTGAGGCATGTTTGCAGTATGATTGCAGTAGCCTACTGCACTGGAGTATCTACTGCGTTTTTCATGTGGGCAGCAATGAAAATTAAAGAGGTACCTGATAACAGGAGTGAAACACATGTACATATAAATCAGACTTAGCACTAATCTTGATCATATTTAAGGTCTGACTTACATGCTTAATGGAAAGAAAATAAATGGTTTGCTACCTGGATACACTGCTATGGAGATGCACAGATATGAAACCTACTGAAGAAAAATGGTACGTCTAGTTCTACAAACTTCACGCCTTCCTAAGGCATAAGTGTACTTTAATATAGCTCAGTTCAGCCTTCAGTATAAGTATGCTTTGTGTATATAATAATAACCATACAAAAAGATGAAACAGAAAACTTAATACTCTGAAGAAAAAGAGAAGGGTTGGATGTGAAACACATACCAATTACCAAAATAAAAAAAATTGTTAATATTTTATCGAAACAAAGATTTAACATGTTATGGAATTCAGTGCAGCTCTCCAAGACAAAGGCCTGTGCAGATAGTTTTTTTTTTTTTTTTTGTGTTACTAGTTGTTTCAAGCATAACAAAGCTTATATTCAAGTTTCCACATCCAATGCAAGAAAAGCTACACCCCATGCCCGTGTCCCCCTAGTGGTGAGTATCTGACCTGTTCCACACTGATCCTGTGGTCAAGCTCTTCTCGCTCTGGAGATTTGCGGAGAGGAGGGACAGGTGGAAAGCATGACTCTATCAAACCAGGCTGCAGAAGGAAATATAATGGAAACCACATTAGCTTCCAAACAGGGAAGAAAAAACAGGCAAATATAACCTGGCAAAGAGTGACAATCGTGTCAAACAAAAATGTATTCAGTAGACTTGACAACAGATAATTTAGGCACAAAATTAAAGGGATTTGATCAACTAAGCAAATAACATAGGATTTTGAAAATAAGAGGGGCAAAAAAGATAACCAACCTGACCAAACTGAATAAAAACGCTTTAGAGTTAAATGATAGTAGCACAAAAATTGAGATAGGCAAGTCAGAAACTACTGATTGTTGGGCAGCTAGACTTTATAGAATTCTTGGTAAGAATGCCAAGTTATATGTGAGATATTGAAGAAAAATACAAAATATGGGGAAGGAATATTTTTCATTTGGTCCTAATTTTTTTTACTTTACCCAACCCTTCTCTTTATTACTAGAAAGTGTTGTTGTTGCAATCAAAATCTAAATGAAAATTAAGTACTTTAGCACTATTTGGGAAAACATGTAATATGCATAGAAGCACGAGCCAGCTTAATGAAAACAGAAAATAACCAAGACCAACAGCAATTCTAATGTGTAAGCCATATTCTATATTGTGTGGATATGTGACACTACCAGCCTTCATGCTAAAAATGTGCATGTAACCCTGATGTGCACTGAAGATGCTTGTCCATTTTATCTTATAATGATATTTATCTCAATGCTTTTTGAAAGGAGACTTCGACAACAAGCTACTGATAATTTCAAATATGTAGCATTAGAGTAGAAAATTAAAAATAATAACCTGATTCTTTTACTATCTGCCAAACTAATGAAACTTTTAAAGCATAACCTGATTTCACCTGTGACTTTGGGCCCCAAAAGGGCTATGTACATAATCATTAGACAATTCATAGCGTATTCCAATTTCTACATCTTAGAACATAATTTGAGCTCATCAGTTTTGGAAAATGTTCAAAACTCTTTCTTCAAAAAATAAAGAGAATACAGTTATTGTTTTTACTTTTAACTACATGTAGAAAAAAACTTACTTTGACCAACATATCCTCTGCATCCTTTGTGGCATTAATACACAAAACTTAATGATAAGATATGCTCTTAATGATAATCTATCATGATATTTATTTGTTCAAGGATGTAATATGCAGTTTGCCTATTAATTCAAGCTTTTAAAGTATTTTTGGGTATTTATTCAGCAAAGCATTACTGAGGTTGACTGTTAATTAACATGCACATTTTCAATTTAACACTTGTTAACAAACAATTTTCTGTGAATATGGAAAATAAAGCTGACTGGTCACAGACAAAACTTTTTACATCTTACAAAACAAGAAAGAGTGCATAAAATCATAGTCTGTATTTTCAAAACCAAACTCTTGGGAAAAAACAGGATTTCTTAAATCAATAGCCAAATATAATTTTCAGCATTAAACCAAATCATACACTTCAAGTAACAGAACCTAAAATCACAAATAAATGCACTGTCCAAAGTGTAAGATCAAGGCTTCATGGTGTCAAGAACCTAACAGAAACTTAAGAATACATAGCACTTGTCAATTGAATAAATAAATAAATAAATAAATAAATAAATAAATAAATAAATAAATATAATAATACACTATTCCTGACACACAAGTATCTTCCTACATGTTAACATGCATTTGTACATTAAAAGAGTACTGTCCGATACCAGGAAATAACATTAATTTAGTTTTAAGTAATGAGAGTTACTTGGACTGAATAACATACTTTACTAAAGAAAAAAAATCAGAAGCAACAAAATCGTTAAAGTTAAATATTTAAAAAAATATTTTCTTCATGTTTAATTGAGGTTATTCCTGATGTACATTCTTACATAAAGCTTTAAAATCCTAAGTGAAAAAAGCCAGAAATCGATTCACAACTTTTTGTCCATTTTTTGTATCAGGGTGAGTTTACCAAGAAAATCTATTACATAAATCTGATTCCAATTCCCTCTTGTATCAGACAGAATTAAATAAGATTTACCCTAATAGTAAATCAATTTGGATCAGCATTTTATTTTTGGGCCCTGGTATGATAATCCAATAACCATCTAGACTGTAAACAATATATTGAAACAGAATAAATAATAAATGAGAAGCCCAGACAGTTCCAGCTTTATACAGCTCTGTTTAAAGTGTTATTTGTCAAACACCTCAATGAACTTTCCAGGGCATTTTACACACTGACATGTTTGTATACCAACACCAGAAAGTAGTAAAGAGTTCTTAACAATTTTTAAAATAATCTGCTTCATATACATGAGAAGCAAATGTATGTGAATAAACATCTAACACATGAATATACACTGGTATCAAACAGTACATGATAAAAGAAGGGAGTGCACATTACAAGCCACATTCAAAGCACACCTGAGGAGTCATATTGGGATTAAACTGGAAGAAAGAGCAGAAACAGAGTCATTAGCAACATTGTATGAAGTCAGTAATTCTCTGCCCTTATATATATATACCCATTACAATGATCACATAAACAAAAAAACAAACAAAAAGTGTAAAGAATCTATGGCACTAATTGGGCTTTTTTCCTAGTATATGCCGAAAGTGTGCTATACGTGATCAATTTAGCTGTGCTAGGATAAGATTGTGTTAGTTGTTCTGTGTTCCTGTTAGCTATGCTGTGATTGCATTAGTTGTGATAATATTGGAAAATGCTAGATGTTCCATGATATTTTAAGATATGCTGAGGATTAGCTACAAATCTAACATAAAGAAATAAGTAAAAGGATGGCTGCATGCAGAAAAAGCTCTGAAAACAGCTGAACATTCACACACCAAAATTGATAAGAAAGGAAATATCATAAAAAGTTAAACACTCCTAATCAAATGTTTAACTTAAGAAGAAAAATTATGGGCTAATTCAAGCCGGCTTTACTACTTAAACTTCCCATGTTAAGAAAGCTACATTTTTCAAAACCACTCCCAACAAAAGAGGAACCTACATCTAATCAAAACAAACAAAATAAATAAATAAATAATTAAATAAATAAAATAAAAATTTGAACAATAATTTCTTCCACAATTTCATATAATCTTTATATATCATTTCAGGTAACAATTGTACACAGAAAAACCAAACACAAATATAGCCTAATTGATCAATTACGGTTGTCAAATCTGAACACATTTTAATAACCAAGACTAACCTAACCTTGATATCTATCAAAAGATGTGCAAGTTAAAATTATACATTTAAAAAAATCCTTAACCAAACTGATAAATGTTTTAATTAAAATATCAGTAACACTTGCAAGACAATATTTTGCAATATTGATACTTAAACTCAACTCAAACAACTGCCTTGAGCTCATGTTCATGCATCTGGATAGCAGGCAGCACAGCAATATGAATACAATATTCAAATATTCAACAACCAGCAATTAAGGGTAACTGACAGAGACTTCACAACTAATGGGTAAGATATACAGAGTTACACATAATGACATAACATGACCACTTAAAATTCACCCCCTTCAGTTTTTTCTTTAAATAATTCAGTGTTTATTAACCCCCCCCCTCCCTCAAAAGTCTGTCACCATCTTGTTCTTGCTGATACTAACCTGCTGTTGAGCAGCTTGGGACCTTGCTTTCCTAACACGACTCTTGGCGGCATCCAGGTCCAATCTTTTGGTTTCCAGTAACTTGCGTTCTTTCTGCAAAAGAACAGATATACAATAACACTTTACTTTCTTTTTCTTCTGATATAAAATTCTGTCAAATATTGTTTCAGTCATGTTAGATGTGATATCTTTCCAGTGAGAACTTTGAGCAAATTGTGATGGAGTTGGTTGTTTTTCCACCTGTAAAGTCTTCCAGACTACTGTAAAAGATACAGTAAGTTTTTGGATGTTTGGACGCAATCAGCAGTGCTCAATTTGAGTAGATAGTAACAATGTTTTAATTCTGTCAGCTATGTTTAAGTTGAAGATAAATGTAATTTATTGAATCTAACCTGAATAGTTTTCATGTCTCCCTCTAGGAAGTTCTTCAGTGGTGTTAGGAAGTTGTTGGCAGAAGTGGACACAAAATCCTTCTCAGCCTGGCCAAGACGCTGTTGTGTTTGACCACATTTCACCAGTGAGTTCCCTAGAAATGACAGAATAATAAAATTTTACACTGAAGCATAAAAACACACCAGTTCAAAAACAAGCTTGCATTGTTCAAAAGTCTGAGATTGGTATTGTTCAAGATTGGTGTGAAGTCTTGTGAATATTTCTATTTAGTTGCATATTGGTACATTTCATATATAATATAGTTAAAACCCTGAACAAGTTTGCCTCACTTGCAGAGAAACTTGAGGTCTACCACATATTTCACATACAGGCCAGCAATTTTAGAGTGTGGGTGTGTGGGGGGGGAGGGGGGGGGTTCGTTTTCTGAAAACATGGACCTTTTACCATAAAATCCTCAAGTACATAGATCAAAGTGTACCTAGAGTGGACCTTTTCCCAGCAAAAAGGGTGGTTCTTTCGAACCCCCCCAACCCACCCTGGCTATGGGCCTGACATACAAGTGTTAAAAATTACCTGAAAAAAGGATTTATCTACTTGTACAAAGAAAGCATTTTAATTCTTATGGAAAATTTTGTTATTTGACAGAAAGCCAAATTTCTCCGAGTGACCAAAACTAACTTTTGAATTCCTTACTCACTCCCTCCATTCTTATTTCATATAAACCATTTTCATTTGTCTAAATTTGGAAAAAGATCCATCCAATTTTCCCTCAGTGGGGCTTGAATATAAAATATCCAATAGGAAAAAGAATTGTCTGTTCCATGCTCAAACATTACCACTTCAGAAACTATCATGCAGATAAAATCTATGCTTGAAGAGGGAGGTCTGCAAGAAGATACATCTACAGATCAATATTATAGCAATTGAAAACCTTTCAAGATGACTTTGAACTAAATTCTAGACACAACTAATCAAATTATTCCAGAGTATTTCACTTCATGTACCAATAATTTCTGTGCTATTAACCCATTACAGTGACGTCATATTTGCTCCGTAACACTAGTCCCGCGGCCATGCTGGAGGGAATGAACGACGGGGAATAGTAGCGGTAATATAGGTGAACCAAATAAAATAAAATAAACTTCATATCGCGATCAAGTACACCAAAGGGAAAAGGATATATACAAGCTGAAGCTTCAGCTGTTCANATCTTCTCTAGATCAAATAACCTGCAGTAATTCATCATTTTGCTCGGTTAAATATCAAAGAAAATACAGAAAACGAAAACTGAACTACAGGCATGGCTTGTTCATGCGCAGCAGACGATTCCGGTCTCCCTCCAGAATGGCTGCCGTTTGTTTTGATGACGCAGGCTCTAATGGGTCAATAGAAATGAAGTAGCTGGTATTCAATTAAATATGAATTTATTTATAAGTTGTCTGTTAACAATAATGTTCTATTTGTGACAATTGTTCCAGCCAGAGAAATGATGTAAGTTTCCAAATCAATCTTTTCAAGTGAACTTATATTGTTCTTCCTCAAAACAATGACATATATATTTGTCTATCCTTTAAGTATACTGAATTTTTTATGGTCATAAATAATTGGCAATTTTACACACAAACAAAATGGAGTTCTTAACAAAACAAGATGAGGCATAAAACAGGTACTCAGGCTTTTCATGAAAATCTCATGGAACCATCACTTCACTGGGATTTTCCAAGAAGTTATAATGAGATAACTTCTTGGATTTTCCAAGAAATCAATAGTCACTGACATCCTGCATTCTAAACTTGCGTAGGCCTTCTTCTATCAATTCTCTTTGGCTATTTCTAAGAAACTCAATTTAATGATGTCTGTAGAGAATCTGACATTTGAACAGTTCCAGATAAACAGTACCTATTAAATAAACATTCGCTGAAATATTGAAACTTACTGCACCAAGTAAAGAGTTGGGTGTATCAAAAAAGGGCCATTAACAGTATTACTCTCATTAACGATAGCTTTCTAATAAAACTCTGGTGCTTTGTACTTTTTTCCCCTCTCCACTTTATAGGAAAATCATTAGCTCTGTCCTCTATAAAATCTATACCAATGATATACATTATGGACCTTTACTTCAAGCTTAGGAATTAGTACATTTCTTGATGAAGACAAAAATATTTTATAGACTACTCTTGTGGGCACTTGGATCTTTTTGAATGCAGTCTGGCTGCATTCATATCCTTCTGAAAGAAATGATATTTAAGAATAATAATAATTTTATAAATATGCCTATATTAAAACAAAAGCAAAACCTTTTTCATCTATTGCTATAGACAGTCAGTTACCTGCTTCAAATGACTATTCAATGACTCAACAGCTTAGTTGTTTTAACATCACGACTTGGTAACTGAGTTGTTTCACCATCAGGACTCAATAAAAAATACACATCTCACCTAAATGACTTGGAAAAAAAAAACAAAAAAAAAAACAACAACAACAATGTTTCAACATTTAAAGTAAGCAGAAAGATGTTTATTACTGTTTCATGGTATTATCTGGTCTAGATGAGAGGATATTGATTATACCTCCATTGCTTTCTGTCTGAACAACCCATTTCACAGAGCACATTTCCTGGCTTGGGCAAGCCTGATGACTTGGGAGTTACATTACAGTATCGATTCTCTGAACAAACATGATGATTTAAACAGGAAACAGCCATTCCTCTGAGCGGTGTATAATTTAATATGTGTCTTATGGTTCTGTTAACAAACCAGACTGTGCCAAGATGAAATCTTAGTCGTGCTCATTATCTTCATTAAACTTTCTTGTACGTCATTAATCTTATAATGAACACAAAGATGAACACAAAACTGTTACTCTGGATCTGTCTGGATTTTGCCTTATTTTTTAAAGTCAGTATAAATAAGAACCAAGTAATGCATTCACTTTCATGAAAGGAAAAACCAAAACCTGGCCTCTTTTTAATGAAACACAAAGCATATGAATTAAAAAAATATATATAACCTTCCACAAAAGAACTAATAAAATACTTTTTATTTTCAAAAAGGTCAATTCAATGTGAGTCATTAACTGTGACTGAAAACTGAAACAGGACGTTATATTTACGTAATATAAGACCTTTACCTGAAGAAAATATAGAAAGTATGATTTACAAGTATATATATTCAAACTGTCATGAATAATTTAATACTGAATCATGCCTATCATCTTATTGTTGCAAATCATCTGTATAATAAATTTTTTTCCACAGAATTAAAAATGTCACTTAATATGTTGTGTTATATAGTGCTGAGAGGTATAAGGAGCATGGTTTTATATTATATATATACAGTTTATATTTACATAATAACTGCAAATGAAACCAAATTAATAACGGATATTTGAAAGGAGAGGAATGATATTAAAGTAATGGTTGATTTCAAATAGATAAAGCCATGAGATAAAAAATAATCTGACACCCACTTAATCTAAACAGAAGAATACAATTCTCAGGTGACACAGTCTGCTATCAGTTTACTAATGAAATAACGAGGAATGAGAAGTCGAACTGAAAGTATTGCACTTGCCTTAGGTAATTTTCACAGTCAGAATGTCGGTTATAAAAGGTAATTTTCCACAAATTTGTATATTAATTTCAATAGTGCCCCTTTTCTGATGAACTTATATATCAATTCCTATTTCATAGTCTCAGGGTCTCATTTCACACTGCCATTCCCTTGATTATATCTTTTACTCTCGGTGATATATTTACATCAGATTCTGTTCTTGATCCATTAAAATGTGTTGGAAAATGGGCAATAGTACCACATTTTAAGTATATCTATATTAAAAGCTGTAGGAATAGATGAGGCAAAAAGGTTTACTAAGGACATTATGGTTACAATCATATAATGCACTGCCCAAAGAATTAAGATGTTTTGAAATAGAATCATTCAATCAATGAAGCCACTTTAATACCATGATGCATTCATGAGTTCTAGGAAAATTCTGGAACATGTTGCATTGATTATTTTTCAGCATCGCCACCTTCAAGATTTTGATTAATTCAAAGACTTGAAGATGATCTGTTTTATGCATGACAAA